AGCAAAAGGCACCATTTACGCTTTGTGCATATTTGCAGCTCAGCAGAAATCTTTTGTCTAGCATTGGAGTGAAGTTGTTTCTGTGTGCTGGGTATAGTACTGTCAGCAAAAAATTACATGATTTCATCATTTCCTATCAATACCAATTAGTGGTTATTTTCCAGAACAGTCCAATTTAGATGAAGCTGAGCTATTAACTTTATTAGTATTTACATTACCCTGATGATCATGATTCAGCTTCTGTAATTAGGCACATCAGTATGTCTATGTAAGAGTGCACTTCTGTAGACAGTCTTTTTAATATGTTTTTTTTTTTGTTAGGGATTCATTACTGACACATCACTTTGTGTTCCCAGAAACATGTAGCAATTGAGCCTTATCTTTGAATTACACATGATCTTTTTGAAATACTTTTTAATTGAAAAATCACAGAGTGGTATTCAAGGAGGAGGAATGATTTGAAATTAAAAAGGAAAATCAAGTAATACTTCTCTTTACTACACAGCTTCACAGCAGCTGAGATTTCCCAGGCGCAGCCTTTCTCTGTCAGCCTCCTGTCACTACAGTTTTACTGCTGGGCTGGGCAAATTGGGGAAAAATAGCCTCTGATATTTCATATAAACTTGATGCATTTTTTCCTCCATAGAGAGTGGCCTGTTTCAATATGTAAGATGTTCAAATAGATGACATTAGCATACTATCTCTGAACAAAGCACTTTCCTCTGTGCTGAAGTTGTCTGGGTAATGGTAAAAAGTGATTCTGAAGGTTGATACTAAGTATAATTGAATGCATTCAGGGCACAACTGCAAATCTCTCGAAAATGTCATAAACTGTGCAAAGCTACTTCCTTGGTGACAGTTTGTTGAGCATAAAAATGGAATCTGTAGAGCCTAAGCTATTTATTTCAATTCAGTGAGATACTCAGGAAAGCTTACAACTCTGCTATATTCCATACAAATGCAAGGTCTCTTAAAAACATATATGTCATCGATATTATAAATATAGATCCAACATTGCCTTTTTGTGTATCTCTCTGTATATGTAATATAAAACCACCAGTACTTAAAGAAATAATATATTTACTTTGCACAATTTAAATATTTTCAAAATTAGAGAGCAACACAATTTTGGTTTTATACACTCCATCTGTGGCTTAGAGCATATTGTTTCTAAAGTAAACAGCAAAATAGTTTAAAATAGCAAAATTGTGCCTATGACTTCAATGGCAGCATGGACAGTTTCTCTGAAATCTTCAGATATTTGTTTCAGAAAATTTGTACATTCACACTTACTAACACTTTGTAAAGTCCTCAATTTTGCTGATAGAAGCATTTGTGGATTTGTGTAGTATGGCTCTAAGCTAAAAACAGGCAGATGACGTAGAGAGTGTAGTGAATATCTTAAGGAATATCTTAAGGAATATTGCATAGCTATGAAGAAAATATTTTTCTAAGGACATGACACAAGGAATTGGGTTTTCTTGATGGTTTGGTTTTTTGAGAGCAGAATGCCTTTTATTTTTAAACAATAATAGAAAAATGCATGGAGCCATAACATGCAGAGTTGTTGCCAAGGTGCTCTACAGCACTAGGCTCCTAAAAATCCAAAGTAATTTTAATTAAGCAGCACAAATGTATTTTGAACAGCTGAACAAGTAATTATTTCATTCTGTATGTGACTGCCTTGAAATGAGACACCAAACAGACCTGTCAACTCCTCTGCTTTTTTATGAGACTCTTCCCCATGAAAAGAGAGGGAAATCATCTGTTTTCTTCTCCTTCTTCCAAATCTGAACTCACCTCCCACCACAGTAATATTTCAAGTGGCCTTGTAGAAACAGAATGTATTCCTGCAAAATAGTGAAGGGAGAAGGACAGACATCAGGTTTCCTTTAAAAAAACCCAGAAACATAAAAACAAGTTTGAAAAAGAGATGCCATTTCTGAGAAATAGAAGGATTAGGAAGAGTTCAGAGTGAAGATGTTTTATTGTGTAAAGGGTGTTAGACTTCAGAAGAAAGTTCTCCACTATTCCCTCATTTGTTAGGATAAGGGTGAATTAAAATTCCTCCATCTCACTGAAATATAATGCAAGCATCTTTAAAGATCTTCTAATCTTAGTTAGAACTCAATAAAAAATAAGACTCAATATTTCTAAGACTTTAAGGGAAATATGCATAAACAAAACAAGTTAACTGTATCTTGTCAGTCTCAGTGCTAATTTTTTCCCTATGGTGTTATCTATTTGATCTCAATGAAAATTCTGGATGCACAAGAAATGTGATATTGCACCATTAATTTGACCAGAAATAGAAACCTATTTGCTAATTCAGGTTCCTAAAAATTTTTTTGCAGAAATTGAGCATAAAGTGATCCATAAATATTTCATTTAATTTCCAGCTAAGGGCCCAAGGGATATTCTAGAAGCACAGAATGGGAATGAAAAAAAACCCCAAAAAACAATAGATGAAGATGTGTGAGATGTGTGTATGGGCACACACTATATATACATACATATATACAGCTTTATATACATATTTATGTGCACAATTATATGCTACTTGATTTTACACTAGTTAGACCGCTTGTTTCCTAATATTTTCAAGATGGACAGATGCATTGAAAGAAAGTTATTTACACCTGCAATTAATATGGGTTAACTAACAAATTTGGGGCCAAAATTCTGGTGAATTGAGTAGGACTAGAAAAATCTTGTTACTATTTTTGTTTGCTTGGGTTTTTTTGGGTTTTTTGTTTGTTTGTTTGTTTGTTTGGTGTTTTTTTTTCTCTTGTTTACTTAGATAAAAAAGAAGACGGGAAAAAATGAGAGTGCATTTCATTTTGTGGCAGTTGATTTCATTCTTATTATTCAACACTATACTGACATGCAGCATATACTTAGTTTCTTGCTATTGGTAGGAAATATTGTCAGGGGAAAGAAAAGGTGTTTTTTAAGGTGATTAAAGAGCTATAATGAACTATAATATGAAAATGTAAATTTTATCTTACTGATAAAAAGAAATCTGCCCATAAAGTCCATTAGACAGTAGAGCAGCACTTCAAAAGAAGTCACAGATGTATCAACAAAGTCATGTTCAAAGTAGGCCAGATGAAACATTTAAGAGGTGTGTTGAGAGGATCATCTTGTAATTATGGTGCAACTGAAATGACCCAATAGTCTTATCCAACCTTCTGATCTCTCTGTGTGGGATAAACAGAACATGGCATTTGAGTGTGAAGATCAGATGAACAGAAAGCCACCTGTGTCTCTAGAAGATGAGTATTTCTCCAAAGTTAGCAGACATGTAAAAGGGCAATTGTATTTCATGCATAACAAATAGGAAGATAGTGAATCATGGCTGAATTATGGGATGTTTCCTTCTTTTGGAAAAAAACACACAGCCCTCCACAGTGAAGTTGCATCCCTTCTCCAGTTTCTCAGCTTTCTAAATGTGATGTAGACTTGTTAAGACAAACTTTGTCCAGTCTCATATGAGGTGAAAAAATTACTTGGCTGGTTGTACAATGAGGTTTTGATATCCACAGAGTGCACAAGGAGTATCAGCAGAGATAATGGGTCTTCCTCCTGAAGAGCTGTAGAAAGCATTTTCCCACAATGTAAAAAAAATCAGGAAAATAGGGTTTTATTGCAGCTATTTTGGCTTCTGTTTTGATAGCTTTTACATGTGTAGGGGCTTTTTTTTCAGAGCTGCCACATTTGCTTCCCTTGACAAGCAATGGGGTATTTATGTGGAGACCACAGCTGAATTTATGATATCGAGGCTGGCAATGAATGTGGTAGTTATTATATGTAAAAGATGGCTAACTTTAAACATTTGTAGGAGAGATACTGAAATGGATTCTAAAGAACAGTAGAAGACTAAATACAAATCCATTGCTCATATTTTTATTACACATTTCCTTCTCTTTTGCATCATCTGAGCTCTCTTATCAAGAAATTTTAACATCCCATTCTTCTTATATAGCTTACAAGCCTGATACTAAAATATGGCAATCTATTTGTCAGCACAAGGTCTTTACTTTTATGACAAAGTAAATAGTTTGCTACAGGTTACAGCACCATAAAGTTATATGATTCACAGCTGCGCTGAGATATAATTTCTTTTCCCAGTTAAAGCATGCATGTCCTATGTACAAGACACAAACATGGTGCTTGCTGAACTTCTAGTTTTATTCCTGTTTTTCCCCTTTCAATCTGCAATTTCTACCCATTAATACAGTTTGTTCCTCTAGACAAGTCATCTAGGACTTTGCCTATTCTCTGTGATCTGTCTTGTTCTAGCTATCATTTTAGTCAATCTTGGTATTCCCTTTAGCTTGCCAACTATCTGATTGTTCTGCCCTGCTCTCTGTCCAACCCTGCTCTGACTGCTCTGTCCTGTCCCTGTCCCCACTGCACATATCAGCTGTCCTTTGCTAGCTTCACTGTCTAGAAAAAGGTAGATTCAAGGGGTATTTGAGCAAAGGCAGAAATGGGCACAGAACCCAGACTGAGAAACGTCACATTATTAGCCTTTATTGCCTTACTTACTGTTACACCCCATTATCTGCCTTCACAAGGTTCAGAGGAGCTTCTCTGAGATGCAGTGAGACCAGTCCATAGAAATCCACATCACTCCATGCCAGGTATCCCAGGGCTGATCTCAGCAGGAAGGTTCTGATATGCTGTTGATCCCAATAATCTTGCTGCATCTTTACAGCAAAATATTGTCCCGCCATTTTCTGCCAGACCACACCAATTACATGTTTAAATATAATCAAATGGGTGATTACAAATGCTGAAGAGCAGGAGAGTAAATGACAAGTGAAGAGAGATTTAGATGTCTATAGAGGTGAGCAGTTGATTAAGCTAGCTACTTCTCAGTCTTGTTGGTTGGATAACGCAATCTAATTATTAGTTTAGGACCAAGAAATACCAAACATTTGTATTTCTCTGACAAACATTTGGTATTTCCATTTTCAACTCAGAAGTGCCACAGCACAGCTCACTCTTTGCTGCTCTCCTACAGCATCTTTCTTAATCGTACACTAAATACTCTGGCTATTTATTCCCACCCTGAGTGCTTTAGTGTGCCAACTGGGTGAAAATCCAAGCACTCACTCTCACTTTGTCTCTTGTGGCTGGAGATAATTCACCTCTATCATCTCAAACAGTGTCACCAGTATTCATTCTTACAACTATTCTGATTTAATATTAAGGCAAAATTAAAATTGCCACAGCATGAAAACACTTGCAAAGGAAATATCTATATACTGTTCAAAATTGTGCAATGAGACTAATACACTAAGACTATTAAAAACACAGATTGCAGATAAACACACGATCAGCAATTTAAAAGTTAGTGTTGTGTGTTGTTTTTCATTTGTTTCCCCTTAAAAGAAAATAAATAAAATTTTTACACTCTCCATAAAAGAGACAATAGATTGTTAGTTTCCCTTTACAGAACTCCTTCTTCTCTTAGAAAAGTAACAGTGATTCAGGGAAATAATAAGCTGACACAAAGTCATGCAGAGCTGAACAAAAGTTTTTATATTTGCTGTTACACTTAGCTGAGAAAATAAGTTGCCATGAATAATTCAGTAAACAACTTTCTGGTCTCCTCATAGGACACTAGGAGTTCATGGTTTTTGTAATCTCATTGTTTATTTCCACTTACCTGACAAATATACAATTTTAACTCTGTGGATTAAACCCACTAGAAGGATAAATTAACAAATCATACAACATTTCTGATTGGATGAATGTGAAGGTGTTTATTTTCTGAATGTGTCTATCTATCTATATATATCTTACTTAATATGAGCAGTGAGCAGTTGTACATACAAGCAGCTGTTCATTTCGCTTTACTGTACTGCACTCCATTAAACTCTGATCACTACTATGCTCCATTTAGAAACAGACCTGTGGTGGCAAAAAAAAAAAAAAAAAAAAAAGAGGAAGAGAGAAAGAAAAATAAATAGAAAAAAAAGGTGAAGAAATTAAATAATTGTAAATTTACAATGCATTTTTAGAATCAAACATTAGTTACACAGTTAAATTCAGCGTTTAGCCAATGAAAGTGAGCATCATTTCCAACAGAAAATGAAATATTGCATTGTGCCAAACAATTTTAAAATTTTACAATTCAGCAGATCTCTTGTGCCATCCTGTTATGCCCCAGCAAATCTCTTACCTTAAATTTGATCATTTCATAACATAATTCCAATTTTTCATTGAACACTGGAATAAAAAAATTAAGGCCTTAGTGTCATCACTTCACATAGCGTACTGTCATCACTTCACATAGAAGAATAGCAATAGAAATTATCAAAATTAAGATTAACATTTCCTAGAACTAACATTCTTTTGAAAACTTAGAGATCAGCAGTAAGGTTGACTGTAACTCTCAGTTTAGTGAATTATCTGAAAGATCTGATGTTGCTCTGGATGACACTTGCCTTCTTTATCATCTTTATGCTCAAATGATAAGGCAATGTGCCAAAATCCTGAAATAAAAGGAACATAACCCAAGGTCTGAATGCAATTTAGGTCCTTTCAAAGCAGTGGCCCACATCTGGATCACAAAATTTTACTTACACCTAAAGAAGAACTCTTATGATTGCTTTTTCTCCATGTTCTCTTTCATGCCACTGTAAAATGCAGAGCTGCCTGAACCTGCATTAAGGAAAACTCTCATTACACCCCAACATCCTTGGGAAGTGGATCCACATCTGTTCCCAGGCACAGACAACCCTCTCCATATTCAGCCTGTTGATTTATGGACACCTCAGATCCCTGTGTGGCATTTCAGCCATTTGCCACAGAAGCTCTGCCGCTTGAGGGTGGAGTTGCAATTTGACATGTGAGCTGATTATTCCATTTGGGATTGGGCAATGTGTGAATAGCAGAGGATGGAATCCCAGTGTCTCAGGGGTAGAGCTGAGTGCAGGGCTGAAGGCAGCTCCTGTCAATTCCCAAGGGGCCCGAGGGCTCCCTGACCTGCCCCTCTGGGCAATGACCGGTTTGCCAGGGCCATGAACTCCCTGCCACAGGGGTGCCCAGGGCTTTGGCACCTCTCCACTGGTGCAGGGGCTGAGTGCACGGATCCAGGAGATGCTGGCCACAGCCAAGGAGGGAGACAGATGGGAGGGGCAGTGCTGGGCCAGGGACACTTTCCACACCCTGACTGCCCTGACAGACACTCAGAGCCCTTGGGCACACTGAGAGCCAATATCCACACCGACACCACAGAAAGGAAACTTAAAACTTGACCTCAAACTGGAACAACCTCCTTCCATTTTTCCCTCCGGAATGGGATGCAGTCACCACTTTTGGCCTAGCAGAGATTCTGCCTCACAGCAAGGCCTGCACACTTGCTTTTACCTC